AAAATTACGCCCACTAAAATTTTACGCCCCCCTAGTTCCGCCCCTGCCTAAATGCTAAAGGTTAGATCTTAGATAGTAGATCAATTCATGTAATATACTCAATTCACTCTAATATCAACACTGACGTCTGACTGCACACTATATTGAAACTGGTGAACGAAAATGTTTATGAGTAGTTTATACTTTTTACGAGTTTTAAGTAAGTTTAGCCCAAGTTGACATTCCCTAAAAACTATCTAAAAATAGCAACAAATGTATTTTAACTATAATAATGTCTTTAAAAAATTAACAGAAATTGGTTTAACAATTATTGAGAAAACCAAAACCAAAACTTTACTAGTTAGGTATAAGTATTTTAAGTGTAACTACTAAGGTATTCTAAAATAGTATAGATGTACTAAAAAATTATCGTAAACAATACCTAATATTATATGGATTATTTTGTACCAGAATATGGCATTATGACACCAAATGAGGTAGGTTGAATTAATTTTTGTCGAAGACATTGCATTTATTATATTATTAATTAAATTAAATTATTATTATAGTATACCTACCCATATTAATTATATCATATACTATAGTTGACACAACAATGCTTTGCTATTGCTAGGTTTTTGTGATTGTTCAACTCATTTTGGGTGTAACACGCTGTGGAAACTCGAAGCAATATCTTTTTAAGTGTAAATTATATTATATTTTAATTATTTATATCCATCCATTCCATCCCCAACGCCGGGGTCCGTGAGATTCGCTTGTAATTAATAATTATGCGAGCAGTATAATAATATCAGGTGGGCAATAAAGATCATGGACCCCGCGTAGTGAGTACGTAAGTGTATAATTTAACTCTAAAGTATCAAAAAATTCAAATAATTGGTCCACCAAGACCGCGTAATTCGAACTTGGTGCATTCTGTACTAAAATACACAGACTTATTGCACTCATATTTAATAATAATAATTATTTAGGTATATCATCAAAACCAATAGCAACCATTTATAAACATAACAAAAAAAAAATCTTAAAATCTTTGTTTGATATATCTCATTTCGTCTAAATTTGAGCTTGAAATATTCTCCATAAAACAATTTGCAATTATATTTTTCGTAGATTTTTTGGTATCAATATTAACTACTTATGACTTATGAATTATAAGGAAACTAATTGTATTACATTTTCTTGAATTAGCTCTAAAAATAAAAATTAAACATTTTTACCTACATTTTCAACAACAAAATAATTTTCAAATGTTCGTGATTTTGAAAAATGTTATCTAAAAATGCTCATATAAAATCGTGCATATATATTTATAGATTAAATATTTTTAAATATCTATAATAACAACTTATGAGGAACCTATTGTAGCCAGGGGTTTGACAACAAAGTTTGAATTTGCATATTTTGTCATATTTGAGCGATTTTTAGCATATTTTGTGCAGATTTTGCATTTTAAATAATATACCTACATATAATTGTCGGGAAAAATCTTATTTGGATAACATTGAAAAATATCTTAAAAAATATTATTTTTGGTTAGGTACAATAGGCGCTAATTTTGAGATTTGGGGAGACTGACGACTAAAACCATAATATTATAAAATTGAATAAGTTTAAAAAAATGTAGTAAATGTTCAGGAGGGCTGTTAAAGTTTTAAGTTGTTGATGGAG